GCTATTTAAGGGTACAGATGTTTCCCAACTTAAAAATAACAAACACACAAGCAAACAACAATTTGCTCAGGGCAGCATCTGATTTTACACTCTATTGACTCCTTACCATTTTTTTTAAAAACCATCTTCCTACTGCGTTTGAAAAAATTATTTAAACTTTGGTGTAAAGCAGTGTCTTTTTCCCCCCTTTTCCTATTTTTTCCTTTCCTTTTGAAAAATAATTCTGGAGTCTTTGGTTGAAAGGAATAATACTATCTAAAGACAGAATGCTACTATCTAAGAAAGCAAACAAAACAAAGTCTCTTCTAGCATGCATTGTACATAAAAAGATGTCTGGAGCGGGCATGAATAGACATTTTTTGTTATCTGCAGTACTGCTACAAACCTCTAGTTTTGGGGAAAAGCCATAGTCTGCAATCTTTCGCTTCTTCTACTCTAGCTTAGAAAAACTATTAAGTGAACCCTAACCACTTTTCCTTTTTTCAAGTTGCCATTTCCAAAGCTTCTCTTTGTTGTTAATATGACACCAAAACAATGCTACGTTTCCCACTGAGAGTGAGAAAATAGGAGTGAAAAGAAGGAAGTGGAAGACAGTGATGTGTGTGTGTGTGTGTGTGTGTGTGTATGTGTGCATGTGTGTGTATGATGTGTCTGTGCATACTCCTACCTGTATGTGAGAGACAGCAATGGAAATCCTTCTGTCTGGGATTCCCAAATCATTTATGCAAAAGGGTGTTTAAATTACTCTGCTGGGGCACTCCAGTAAACATACTTAGTAAAAAATAAATAGATTAAAATTAAGACAACAACGCTAAACAATTCTTTTTATCTATTGACTATTAATTTACAGCATCTTTAATTATGTACATATTGGAACACATCAGTGTAAGCCATAAACAGAATTAGTACATTGCCTTACCATAAAATACAAATTAGAAGTTAAAAATATTTAAGAAATCTGTTTAAATATTTACACACGCTCAGTGAAAGTTATGTTTGCTTACATAACAGACTCTGTACACTTAGCAAAATGGCATGAATGCTACAATGGTAATTTTCCCTAACCAACGTGGTGAGGGCTGGTTTTAGTCTTTCTTTTTTTTTCTTTTTTGCCCTCCCAAGAGGATTTATTTTTCCATTTTCTTATTTTTTTCTATTTTAAATCACCAATGGACAATGCTATCTATGTCCTTAGAAAGAGAGCAAATGGACATCTGACAAGCAATGCAGAAACTATTTAACATCTGCTATTCTGAGGTACAGTAGTATTGTAGTGTCAAACTGTTCAATGTTCTTAGGAACTGTAGGCATTGATCTGCTGAGAGAGATATTCAGTACCCTGTATTACTTATTTCAGGATGGTGACTGTTGGTTGCCAAATTAAAAAAAAAAAAAAAAGACTCCTATACAGGCTCAATGAAGGGAACAACCTATTAGCTTATTCCTTTTGTTTCTGACATATGAATGCATACATATGCATGTGTGTTTACACGAATCTCTATATACACATATACACATGTAGATATGCTATAAGACTCGCCTATGTCAATGCTTTCAGTTTGTGTTTTTAAACATGAAGTTAGCCAGAAGACTGAAACACAGCGACCTACAGAAAATGAAAGTGGTCATAGTAGTCAATTTTAAGCAGGTCTTGCTTCAAAAACCACTGTGGTTAATTTCTTCATTGGATATCCCACTGCATGGCCGTGAAGTGTTGTGCTTTTGTATGCTTACAGATCATATCTGTATGTGGTCCTAATGCTAGAATGTAGAGTCTTTTGGTTTTAAAAAAAACATTATTATTATCGTTGTTATTATTTTACTTAGCACTGCTCTTGTGGAAATGAAGGGACTGAAGGACTCGATGACTCTGCTTGAGTCCTATCCCCTGTTGTTAAACTGCAGTAGAAAGAATTGTAACATTCCTATGCAAACACATGGGTATGTCGCATGAGATTTCAGTTCAGAAGTGCATTTCATACCTACAAGCAGTCATGTACAATAAATATATATATATATATATACAGATTGAAATCAGAGATTTTGTTTAGACTGTGCAGTTGAGAGTCGGAATTTGCCCATTAATTTCTCAGAGATGAAAAAACACCTTACTTGCTGGCTATCTGGTTACTGTATAAGCAAAAGAAAAAGCTATACATATGTATAAATTGATTGCAATACCATGTTAAGATTGCCGAAACACACCTTGGTGGTCCTTTAGTTTAATTACTGGGTAACAAACTAATTGGTTTTCCCAGATTCATCAGACCTAGCACCCTTTCCTGCATTCTAATTCAACTAAAAACATAAAAAGCAAATTCTACATGGACCGCTATTCCTGGACAGGATGAGTCAGTGTTTTCTTCCTACATGGTTACTGAATGCCAACATATGGCTTCACTCTAGGACATTGGTTCCAAGGTCTTACCTTCTTTCCGCATTAGTGCAGAAATGTGTTTCTCGGTCATATGCACGTGAGGCCCCTGCTGTGAGGCTGCTTCCCCCCCATTTTGATCTAAATAGATTGCTCGACTTCCCTGGACATCTAAGATTTTGTTATAACCACAAATGACAATATCAAGGATTTTTATGGCTTTTATGGAAATCGCAAATGGGAGCCTAAACTTAGGCTCTGAATTGTCTCTAGAAAAATCTCCTCAGAATGGCGTGTCACAGGTGTGCCCCTGAGTTGATTGTTATGCTTCTTTCATGTTATTTCATATTCGAGCATCACCCCTTGGTGACAAGGGATAGGCACTTTTATCACTGTGATCCCCAGAAATGATTGCGTAGGGGAAAGTATGTAGAAGCCTGAAGAAGAATCGTTACTCTGAGAATGTGCAGAGATCCTCCATCAGATCTGTGATCCCATAATGCTGAAGCGTTCAAGTACTTAATCAAACCACAGGCGCCAGACTTCCCAACACTGATAGAAAGCAAACCATCCCAAACCAAGCCAAACCAAACCAAACCAAACCAAACCAAATACTCTACCATGCCAAATTTGTAAAACTTTAGAAAATGAATGAAAACCTATTTTTTCCTTTTTATTTTTCTCTCTAATTGTTGGGATGAAAGTGCATAATAATGCTTAATATCCCAAGTTTCTGAGTCACAAGGGAAGTAAGTGGATCCTTTACCTTCAGGGTGATACTAGACTTAACTCCTGTGGACTTACTAGGGACCTTACTCTGAAGACAGATTTTTTTGATTGTTTTAAAAATAGAAGCAGCAGTCATCCTCTGAGGAAAAGGTCAATCAGAGTCAAATTTATAAAACAAATACCTTAATATTCTAAGTTTTCAGTATTTTCTATAAGTGAAAGTCAAATATGAGACCTCTCCATTGACAAAAAATAAAATATATTAGCCTATTCTCTTTTCTGTTTTATACAGGAATGGGTATACCCAATTTAGAAAGTTGAAAAATGGCATAATTGGAAAGATAGAACAAGAATGACACCATCCTACCCATCCTGGTTGTCAGTTATCTACACTTCTGCAGCAACAACTGAGAGCTCAACACTCACCATGGCTTTGTTCTAATCCCGTTGTCCCCTAGTTCTGGCTTGCTTAAGTAGATTGTAATATATACAATGTAAGCACCCTTTAAATTATCAAACCCAAGTGACACACAGATTCCATCTGTGCATACACATGCCTTGGAAAATATAAAGATGGACTTCATGGCCCATGAGAAAACCCAACCGTGCAGTCTCTACAGTGCCTGTGGTCTCTGTCTCCTAAGTGTAAAAAGAGAATTTGAAAAGCAAGAAAAGCTAAAGATGCTGATCAATCATTTAGAGTAAATAACAAATTCTCTTTTTAAACTACTGTCTTTGATTCAGAAATAAACTGATAGGGAGATGATGTAGGGGCAGCTAACCCTGAGAAAAATGATCTGGTCATCTATGCTCTGTGTTTGATTATTAGAAGAATTCTCAGTTTAGCCCATCAAGATATTTTTAATTCTCTTCACTTTTCTGCTTGACTTTTATTCTCTTCACCTCTCTATTTGATAGCTACCTCTTGGTGAGATAAATGATTTAAAATGTCTTCCTTATGTATGCTAAGCTTATGCTCATGAGGTCTGCAAACCAATTCTTCTCACGCTACTCTTTGCTGCTCAGCGCTGTGGGCAGACCAGATGCCACGTGGCTCTGACAAGGGTTGCACTCACTTGTTTTGCCTTCTCTTGAACTACAGTCATTTCTGGATGTTTAACCCTGCTTTGTGCTGTTAACTCATCTTTTAACCAGCTAGGAAATAGCTTGTTGGCAAAATGTACATTTTGGCTCCTGTGCACAGGCTGCTCAGAAGTCTTCCTCTGTCTCAATGCCAAATTGAAAGACATCTCAGATGGTTCTTTCTAGGCCATGAAACACAGCAGACAAATTGACTTTCTAAGTCTCTTCTTTAAAGCTTTACCACACCTCCCTACTTTGAATATGCTTAAAATATATGTTTGTCCGTTAGACCCTTGACAATCACCTCTCCATGACACCGTTATCATCTGGCACAGACCTCACTGACCATATTGAAGTAACAAACATGCTTCCATTATTGCGGGATAATATTTCATAAGCACAGTGCGATCCCAACAGCGTGCTGATCTTAGGAACAAAGATGGAGAGTGAAATGACCACGTCTCAGAGAACTGACTGCCAATGCTATTGCGCTTTCTACCATCTTCTAGAATCTACATAATAACCATCTAAGGAGGCTGTGTACTAAACTAATAAAGTGGACTACTTCACGCTCCATCTCTGCAGCATGTATAAAAATCACTTGCATTGAAACTGGAAAACCACAAGGACCTTAGTGTATTCATTACTTAGTAGAAGCAACCCAAATGGTATGAAATGGACCAAGGGATAGGCCAGCAACTAAGGTATTTTAAGATCACTTTTGTCCTGGATTGATGTGTTTTCCAAGTCCTACATCAGGCTGTACAACTGTTTGAGGAGTAATCTAGTCCTTGCTTCCCAAGGAGGTTGGAGTTTAGTTCACGTAATAAAGCCAATAGACAATGTTGAAGAAGGAAAACACCACCGGGAAGAAAATGCGGGACCACCGATCTATGGCATTTACATCAGTCAAGTCAGGGATGGTGATTTTCAGTTGAGAGGCACGTCTCCTCAGGCGACTCTTCTTTTGTGCCACGTGTCGCTCCAAAGCATTGCGGCCAAAACTATGCCTAGGCAACCCGGCTTTCCGATACTGGATGCTGGAGGCATCATAGGCAAGCATTGTGCTCCTGGGGTCTCCAAGTCCCATTACTGCTTCTGATGTGGCCATCTCGTTTTTTATCTCGAGAGTGCTAAGTAAGATGTTCTCATGTGGGTCCATCTGTAAGGAGGAAGGATCAGAAAAGTTATATCTGAAACAGTAAGCCTTTGTTGATGCCTGCACTACAATGAACTATTACAGGTACTTAAAGAAGCATCTCTTACAGTGACAAAGAGCTAGTTTTGCTATTGCAATACTTGACTTTTAATTGCAGCTCTGCAGCTATGAGCTATTTGAGTCTCAGGTTTTCCATTTATTAGATGGTATAGATTCAACCCCAGAGGATTCTTATAATGTAATTTTTATATCAGATTAGCTAGCACAGTTTCATAATTTCTACTTACCTCATGCAGAGAAATAGAATATAAAAGATATTCCTTTACATAATTTATAATATTGATATGAACAGATGCAGAATCAGCCTTATTATGTATGGTATAATGATAGGGAATTAACTGCAGGAATTATATTCATGTCTTTATGTAACTTGTATATTTACTGAGTTTATTTATTTTTAGAATCAATGTATACCAAAAGTTATTATTCATTTTTCTTCCATCTTGGCAGTGTTGTGGAACTGCACCTGAAACCTTCATCATCATAGGTAAGTGTCCTATCTCTGAGCTACATGTCCATCACCATTTTTTAAATTATAAAATAAGAAAACATAAGTTCAATTTCCTGTCCATCGAGAAGTAGAACATTTTTGTATGTTCTACAAGAGTCCAACACTTTCTCTGAGGAATTGATCACAAAATGCCTCACTGCTTTATTTCATTGACCTTTATAGGTTGAGAACAAGCAAACAAGCAAGCAAAAAAATAAGCAAGAAAGGAGCCATGCCAATCTTTCCCTGCTCTTGACCATGGATATGATGTAATAGGTGCTTGAGTTCCTGTCTTGAGTTCCCTCAAGTGATGAACTGTAATTTGGAATTGTAACTGAAATAACACCTTTCTCCCAAAAGTTTCTTTGGGTCAGGATATTTTATCACAGAAACAGAAATGACAACAGGCCACCATGTTTACAGCACCAGTAGCGTCCTCTTCAAGACAAGAGAAATAGGGCCTAGAGGCCAAGGCCAAGGCCAGACATTGTCAGCGGCACAGTGGCAGAGAGTAGGGGCGAATGGCCTGGCATGTCTTTCCTACTGATATGTCAGTTTCCCTGAAATGCCGATTACAATAAATTATACTTATTTTGTTCATATTTGTCCTTCATTCTGATAGTCGTCTTGAGGGCACATACGAAGAGGTCTTGGTCTTTCACTGTAATATCTTCAAGCATCCTGCATTGTTCTCTGTACAAAGCAGATGCTTAATAAAGAGCAGTTGAATGAAATTAATGTTGTGATACTACGGAACCTGGTTCACACTTTATGAGTCATTAGTAAGTTGGAGTCAATTATTTCACATCATCCTAAGGATCAGAACATCACAGGAGCACCTCTGCAATCCCTCTTTGCCCTAAGGTATCTTTCTCTAGGTGCACAGGTCTCTTTATAAAACAGAAAGAGCTATAGTTCCATGGCACCCAGTGTCACTTCCAGGACCGATTCTTCACTCTCACACAGAGAAGAGCACTTGGCAACTAACAGCTTGAAATTAGGTTTAAGCATTTTATTTACAGAACCATTTTAGCTATCCCAGAAGCCACATAGAGCTGGCGTTAATCCCAGCTGAAAAATAGTGAAGAAGTGGCAGAGGAGGAATTAGCTTTAAATCTGTTCCACTTTTCCCTGCTGAAGCATGGTAGCAGTCTACCTAGGTATAGCCACAATCTGGAGGCTTGCACAATTCTCAGTAGGAAGGATTGGAGAAGAATGCTTGCAATCAAATGTCTTACTACTAAAGGTAAGGGCTGGGGTAGACTCATGTTAACTCAGTGCCTTCAGCTGAGAAGAGAAAGCATCTGTGCTCTGGCTGCCTATCATGTCCAGTCTCCTCATTCTAGTTTCTGCCTGGCAATGCAGCATGTGTATCTCTATCCTCAGTTTCTGTATCCCTGGTGCAAACGTCGACCACGTGGCTCCCTGATGTTGAGGTAGGCTGAATAATGGTCGTATGACTTTTTAGGAGTCAGTGGACATGTTTTGAGTCTTCAGATGGACAGAATAGAATAAATATACTCAATCAATGCCAGTAGATTTATACCTAGAAGCAGGTGTCCCAAAGTCTGCAGAGTCTGTCGGCATATTTAAAGTGTAAGAGGCATTCCTGGCTTATAAAGTAGCTAGCACAGATAAGGAGTCTGTGATCTGATGTTACCATGCCTTTGTATGGTAACATGTCTGATGCTAAGACAAGCTGTCCTCAACCCTTCATCATTCCCTTTCTTCTTCTATCTTCTGCTTTTCCTTTCCTTCTTCCCTACTTACCTCTCTTCCTTTCTGCCTCTCTCAGTCTCTCTACCCTTCTATCTCATTGTTTCCTTAAGGAAACATGCGTTGGGTTTTACATTATCCCAGACTCAAAGAATACTAAGATATGATTCATCTCTTTCAATGGTCTCAAGAAATCCATAGGAAAGGCAGAGCAGGAAAGGAATTAGAGACATTTTTATGTCATAAGAGCTCCTTATAATTCAAATTACAAATGAGGTTATCCAGGTGAGGAGTATGATCCTCGCATGTAAATCAGTGTTGAGTTTTAGTATTTGGACTGGAATCAAAAAGAGCCCAAGACTTGTAAGATTGGAGACCCTGCCTGTTAAATTGGTGGCACTGTGTTTCCTTGTATATATTGGTCTTTCTCACTCAAAGGGAATAAACCTTGAAAGGAACCAACTCATGGGGTTACAGCTGAATGTAACAGGAGAGACTGACAGGCTCTTTTACAAGTGTTTTAAACAGTAAAGGGATAAAACCCAAGACACATGACCTCTTAAGTTTATTTTAATTCTCCATTGTGTGCATAGAAGCAAAATTATCACTAAATATTTTCTTAGAAAAAAAAGAAAAATCACTTTTACTTTTGAATTCTAAATTCAGTAATGGTTATCTGTTGTTTCATGTGGGGATGTCTGTTGTTATAAGAAGATGTTTGCTATGAAGCTTTTAGAGAAAGATTCATAAGGTACTTTAGAATAGGCATTATTCTCATTTGAGATGGTAGGGAACAGAAGACCAGGAAAAATGAAGAGAGTTACTGCAAGTGTTACTATTCATAGGTCATATAAGAGTATATCATTGATGGGCTATGGGTGCAAATGCATTACATCAATGCTACTTTAAACCTGTCTTAAATCTACCAGGGAAGCCTGACTCAGGTGGTGTTGTAGAGGATAAGTGGCTATGTCTTTGGTTCCCAAGCTCAAGTGTGCACCACAACCCCCAAGAGACCTTGTTAAAACACATCTTTGGCTTCCACTCTTATGATGCCTGACTCAGCAAGTTTGGAATGCATTTCAATAATCTGCATGTTTAATAAGTTCCTAGTTGACACCGGGCTTCTGGTCTAGGGTCTATACTTAGAAAAATGAGTCCTTTGGACAGCAGCTGAAGGACACAATGTGACTTCAAATAAAGAAGCAGCAGGGCTCAGAAAAATGTTGAAAAGGGAAGGTTTTGGCGAGAGGCCATCACCGAGCTGAAGAGTAGCTGTCACAGAAAACATGTGCAACTTCCATTTATGCAGCAGTCCCAAGAAATAAGCATCCTATCACAAGCTTCATGCAATTATCATTTCTATGGAACTCGACAGAAACTATGAGAGAAAGGGAGAGATCTTCAATCTTCCCATCTTAAATACGAGAAGCTAAAAAAAATGGCTAGAGATAGGCCTAGGTGTGTCCTTAGGAAGTACACATAGTTGGTACACAATCTGGCCCAAGATCTGCTTCAATTTACTCAACTCTAAGTGCTGAGTTTTGTCACAAAATGCCTTCTCTGCATGCTTCACTTAGGTGACAATTTTTAGAAAATTCAAAGGTACAGGCATTTTCACGTGGATTTGGCTAATTTTAAACATAAATTTCTCTTTTTTTTAATTTTTCACTCTAATTTTTTCTGATTGACTCTCTTCACCAGAGCAATGAACAGACAGGAAACACTGCTCATCTAATCAGTTTTGACTGAGGACATGAATAAGATATCATTTCCTTTAACTAATCATAAGAGCTGCGCAGCAATTTCCATTGCCTTGGAAAACATACCAACATTGGTATGAAATCATTCTCTCCTGGTATTTCTACTTGATCTAATAGTGATGGGTATTTTGTTGGTAGCAGGGGAAACAAGATGGAGGGAAGCAAAAACAAAGGGAAAGGGAGGAGAAGGAAAGGGACGGGAGAGTAACCCTGAAAACTTGCAGACTGGCTGTCCTGGCAGGGAGCCTTGTATCTGGTTTTGCATGGTCCTCTTATTTCCAACACAAGTTATTCACCTTTCAGTTTTGAAAAGCAAACTTGGTTTGGAGACGTGTTATGAAATCACCATTATCAATTGAATCTGTTGTTTGCCATTCAACCCCATTCCCCGTACATTAAGAAGCACCTGGAGTTGCAATTTTCAATTAAGAACCAAGTGCAGGATCTTGAGAGGCAGATAAAGATTCCTACAAGGCACCTATGGGAAAGAAGACAGCTTGCATATCATTAATTTGGCAGTCCTTCTGTCTGCAGAGACAGTGCTGCTGAGGCACCTTACCTTACAGAGTGACCTGGGGATTGCTGGCACTGTCACCAGCAAATTAACCCAGGACACTTGCAGTACAGCCTTGTTTTGCTTTCTTGTTGTCACAATGCCAACTTTTTTTTTTTTTCTGGGAAAGGAAACTGGGCTGGCTAAAGAATTCGATTTTTTTGCAGTTTTTTTTTAAAATAATATACTAAACTCTAAAAAGTGTGCCTTAGTTTTATAAAATAATCAGTCAGCTCCAAGTTTGGTTGCAGATTCTCTGTTTCTATCCTTTCTATGCCTGACTTAGTACCTACAGGGATGCCCTATGTCTAAGGTCATTACAGAAAGACAAATCACATCACTCACTGGCAGACTAGCTTACCTGAGAAGGGGAAACAGGGATATTTTAAAACTCAGTTCCCACTGACGTTATCCACCAAAT